AGCAACCCGGAAAGCATAACAGAGGATATTAGCTATATAAGAAGCGAGTTCCGGACGGCCATTCTCGCCGCCCGAGCAGGAAATTGACCCTCCCTCGAGGTAATAAATTATACCAAGACACCTATTCTTATCGCTACGAATCATTGCAGGAATTATACGCGTTCTTATGATGAAATACAATATGTGATACAAATACCTATTATGTAATACTAGTACTTTAGTAGCAGTAGAGCTCCTTGTGAAAGAGTTCAGTACAAGAGAAGTACTGCCACCTTATCTGTTTCTGCCGCCAAACCGTAATGTAAGGCATTACTGCGTTCCGGTTTAGAAGGGTAAGGGTGCTGGTGAAATTACAGGCACATGGGACTTGTCAACTTATGTCTCAGGATAACGGGCGCAGTGGCAGGGCGCCTCAGATCCTTGCGATTTAAAGCTCTGAGTGGCACAGCAACTGTTGTGGACAGGCGTGTAGCTTGCCATCATACACACGACTTGTTCGTCCCGTCACTTGATATTATAAAAAAAAACTAACTAGTCGGTAAAAACCAAACATCTGGAACAAGCACATAAAAAAATTCGTAAGGTCTGCCAGTTCGTTCTGTAGCTCAGTTTGGGGAGTGTCAGGCACGGTATGCTGAAGGCGCTGGTTCGAATCCAGCCGAATCTAAGGAATTTTTCTTAATGTTGGATCTTTGTAATAATAATTATAACAAACTTGTGGAGTAATTTCAAAATAAATAATTGAATATCATGGTAGTAGAATATGGTGTAAATTAATAAACTTAATATCACAAGTATTAGTTTCCAGAGACCAAGCGCAAAATTTATATGTGCGATTATCGTGGAACTTGCGAAACTAGATGAAGTTTTCTAAACGTGAAAATAGAACATCAATGATTGTAGCTTACAGTGATTTTCCATTAATTTCTAGCTTAATTACCTCAACTAGATAAATAACAAGTTTTACAAAAAGAAAAGACGAGAAAAGCAATTTTCACTGCATTCAAGAGTAAACGTCGGCTTCTCATGAGAACCTGGTAATGACACTTTGAAATCACGTGAGAAATCTTAACGAACACGCTGTGCAACAAACAAAGCATGTACAGTCATAATTTGTAGTAATAATACAAACCCGTAGAGACAATGACCATATTTTATGTAAACAATGCTGTAATACACATACAAATAAGTAAGGTAATGCGATGGTTTATTAAGTTGTGTAATGCACGAATTGGAATTAACAAATCGATTTTCTTTCACGTTCTAATGAACGTGAGGTTGCATGGAAAATCACCACAGTTTTCAGTAACAAAAAAATTGCCAACAAGGAAAAAATGTGTTTCTCAAAAACAGATTTTAAGCATGCTGGTCGTTTTGGTTACACCTCGAAGAAAAAATGGCGGGTTGTGTAATTACAGTTTATAGACGAATTAACTAATTACTACTATTATTTGAGTTTCTTAATTATTTTTTACCCTTTTTAAGATAATGACTCTGTAACCAAAGCTCAGTAATTAAAATTATTATTGTTCTTTATTTATTATAAAGAACAATAATAATTTTAATTACTATAATAATAATTTTATATTATATATTACTATAATAGTAATTAATATATTATATATTATAATTTTATAATATATAATAATTTTAATTCCACGAGATTCAAGACTGACAAATTGAAACAATGCACTTTAAGGGTAATAACAATTTATTTGTTACGCCATGGGAGAGAGGCAAGAGTCTAAAAGATACCCGAAAGAATAACTAACGTGTCAGAATTAAGTGTGGTTACGCACTTTTAACTGGTCTCAAAGTGGGCCAATTTCCTGTACTAGAACTAGAGTGTCAAAACAACGAACTTGAGTCCGGGGTACTTACTATTCAGAGTACCTAGATCCGGTATAAATTTTTATTTCTTAAATTGTTGCCGCCGGCAATCGAACCCGGACCTTCTCGTTTAGCGCCCACAGTGATAATCGCTGGGTCACAGCGGTTGTCAAAAAATAATTATTATACACACACTGCAGCACTCCATATGTGGTACAGTCGAGGCGTGGTAAAACCAGATGTGGCGTAATTACTCCTCCAATTGAAATTTATAGTTGCTTCAAGGTGGTCTGTGTGTTTACACATAGTCAATTATTCTCTAATAACAAATAAACTGAAAGCCGTTACAACTAATGTATAACTAGCAAACAAATTTAGAATTCTACATAATAGGAAACAAACAATATTATTTTATTGGCGTTTTAACAACTCCGTTAACGTACGTTACGATTCTTACCATCAGCACATTTAAGTGCTAAAAAACACTTTACAACTCGTATTTTATGACAAATTTACAACCACGACCCGTTGAGGTGTGTAAATTTACTTTGCGATAGCACAAGTAAAAAATAAATATGGCAGTAAAATATGTATCATTCGGCAATAATTGAATCATATATCGCTGCTTTATTATCCGACTTAAAAAAAAGGAGAAGGGTCTCAATTCGACTGTATTTGTTATTACTCCGACATCTGTGAACCGATTTCGTGATTCTTTTTTTGTTGGAAAGGGGTACCTCGGTAGTGGATCCATTCAAATTTGAAGAAAATATACCAACTCTAATGATGGCAAATTAGGAGATGAATCCGGTTTACTAGATTTCACCCTCTTTCCGTTAACCGATGTCAATAAAACTTGGTAAACAGATGTAATTCCATAAAATTTTGAAGTCGGTTTCTTTTTTGTAAAAAGGTTATAATTAATAATTGAATTACCTTATTTTTAATTTATACACAGAACTTTGACTTAATTGGACGTGTAGGTTTATTTAACAAACAGCGTTCTACCACTGCGCACTGTAGGTTAAGTGGGAATTTTATTAGTGAGAGATTTAAAAAAGTAATAAACAAATATTTTTTGTGTACATGCCACTGTACTAACAAGATACAATATTTATTATTTGGGTTAGACGTAACGTTATGGTTAGACGCCGAAGTAGATTTCCACAAAAGTATACAATATTTACAACTCATGAGCAAGGATTTACAAATTATCAAATTTCTCTATTGAAAATCAAACCATACGTCGTTCACAGAGTTTTAATTTGGAATATCAAACAATTCGTTTGTAATCTCTCTCTCTCCCACGCAGTCACACACACCCAAAATAAATGTGTGTTTTTATTACATTTTTCTTTAAGCTATAATAAATATAGTTACTAGGAGGACAAAAAACAAAAGCAGTATAAATAGTAGACGGCTATTAATAGTCCCAGCATATAAGCAGATTGTACCAGTGATTTTACGAACAGGGTCGCAGAGAACCTGTGAGGTGTGGTTTAATAACAGAGTTTAGTGAATTCACAACCATTTACTGCAGAGCTCCTGGCTTCTGTTGGCAACAAAACAGAACCATTTATTTGTACTTTAAACAAGGTTGCGACAAAGTATTTTTATCTCAAATGTACCACAGATATTATTGAGAAATAGAATTAGAATGCATACATTTGTCATTTTCGCTCATCCGGTTGTCACATTCGATATTACCTAATACTGATGGATAACATCTTTGCATTTTTGTCACAAACTCGATATGAATGATAGTATGCAAGAAGCAATATCAATTTTCAATGCTTATAAATAAGCTTCTCATATTATGTAATTGCTGTTTACGTTAACTCTAATGTAAATAAAGATAGTGAGTAATTCTAGATGTAATAATGCTAAACATTTATTCCGGTTATAGGGGCAGCCCTATATAGAAGAATAAAACCGGAAAAACCGGTAATAAAGTGTACACACCCGACAAAAGGAGCAAAACCGACAGGCTGGACGCTTACCTGTAACAGATAAAAATGTTGTTAGTGAAATAGAAACACGCTACAACTGTTGCTACAGAATTGTTGACATTTCACAGTAAGAGGGCAATTTTCAACACCTTTATTCATTGAAATTAGTAAATGTAAGTAGAATTCAGTTTCATTATAGAATGACAAGGTAATAATTTAACTATAAGTCAGAGTGACTTGAATAATATGTAGTATATAGTATTCAGTTCCTTTTACTAGTGTGGTCTTTGCTTACATACTCAATTATTAAGATAAAGATACCAGACAACATGTGTCTAGATTCCACACAATTGTAATTCAAAGTGTATTCCATGGCATTTCAGTTGATTTGAAAAGAGCGATCCCTAGAGTTTCTTACTCGTTCTTCTCAGAGAGGTCAGCGTAGTGAACGAGCAGTAGCTTCAAAAATGACTTTTTTAAATGTACAAATTTTACTGAAATAAATTATTGTTTGACTTTAACTTCGTAGATTTCTCACAGATGGCACTATAGCAAAAAAGTCGTTAAAAACCAAAAACAAAGACCTACAACAAACACATAGAAGAATTCATAAGGTCTGCTGGTTCGTTCCGTAGCTCAGTAGAGAGAGCGTCAATCACGGTATGCTGAAGGCGCTGGTTCGAATGCAGCCGGATCGAAGGAATTTTTCTTAGTGTTCGATCTTTGTATCAATAATTATAACAAACTAGTGGATTGATTTCACAAAAAACAATTGAATTATAATAATAGTAAACTATCGTGATCTTCAATAAAGTTAATAACAGACAATAAATTAAATACCTGGCATTCTCATAAGGCAAGATCATTGTAAAAGACAATACAATTATCTGCACAATTAGAGATATCATATTGAATAGTTTCAAGAACACTATAAAACGTTCTAGGCAACCATTGCATTCAAGTAGTCGAATTATTGTTTGTTGTAAAAAATTCCAAGGCATCTAGAAACAGTTTACGAACACAAGTACCTACAGGATTTTCGAAAATCATCATAATTAACCCATTTATACGTCCCGCTGTTGGGCACGGGTCTAAAGGTTAAAACTCAAAAGTGCGATTGAGGGTTCGAACCCACTGCTTGGGAGGCAGTAGCAGGCAGTAGGTCAAACCATTAGGCTATCACGGCTCATCTATCATTTTCGAAATTGTTTGTTTAAAATTACCATCCGGAAAGTTTGAATTCACCTTTCTCTGGAATATTAAATTTTTCAAGCTCATTTTTATTATATATACGTGCTTTTGACAAATTCGTTTAGAGAACCTTTCTATCTCTCAATTTTTTTTTTATAACAGAGTACGAACATACGCAAGTGGTGCTGAATGTAAATTTTTCTTGACATCGCCTAATACAAAAAATACTCGATTTTATATTATCCGATCACGCAGAGGGTCCGATAGCATTATTGTTTTCCCTACAAACCCTAAATTGCAGATTTAACCCTTAAGTCATAGGTATTAAAGCTCAAAAATCATAGCTGTGTAAATCACCATCGCAAGTCTCTACATGTTATTAAATCGTAGACTACATTTACGTGAAGTTTAACTAAAGCAGTCTACCACAAAGAAGATAAGCGCAATTAACGTAATGGAAAATTATTCGAGAAACTTCTTTCGAAAATGTTCGTAGGAACAGAGAGATATACTAGCCGTAGCAAGTCTTCTATGACGGGACTCGACTTTTTTAAGTAAAATAAAAGAACGTTATTATTTTTTATGCTAATGGGGAATATAATCTCCTTGTCATTAACTAACGTATTTGCATTTTGGTAACTTGAGAGATATTACCACCTAAAGTTGTGTTCTTTGTAAAATGTCAATTACTCTGATTTTGTTTAACAATAATACTACAATAAACTGAAAAATAAGACATTAAAAAAACTGACTGGACGGGGTTGTAGATTTCGTTTCTTTACCAAATATATTAATAACTCGATTTCGCTAAAAATATCGATTACGTCAAGTATAATAAGAAGGGCAGCAATAATACGATAATAACAACAACATTTTTTATTCATTTCTTCCACAATAAATAGGAACACACAAGAGCACATTAAGCTTGACACTTTGGACTGTTCTTATAACAAGCGGTATGTAGTTGAATTTAAATCTTGCAAACGCCCTGTAGAATGAAACTAATTCATATAGTGAGACAGGAACCTGAATTAGGAGTGCCCAGTATCTCAGAACTCTTGTAGCACGACAGGGCGCGACTTGCATTAGAGTGACATAAAGCGCGAGACATCTATGCGCAAATAGAAAACGAGAAGTATGTCGCGCTTTATATCGCTCTCGCGCAAGTCGCGCCATATTATGCTAACTCTATTGGTTGTGTAAGTTTACATAAGAGTATTGTGAGTAAGACGAGAGTAATGAAAAAGGGTAGTTATTTCAATGTTAAGCATGTTGTGTGCGCGTGTGCGTATGTATTATACGTTCGTATGCGCTCGCCATTGAGTTTTTAGGCTCAATTTATATTGCGGCGGAACGGAATGGAAGCGAATTTTTGTAACTACATTGTACATAGCATAATGAACTCTATGGTCAATTGTGTAACGTACAAACTAGATGCGAGCACAAAATCCTCCGCGGAATTCTCGCGCATTCGCATTATATCATGTTGAAATAACCTTTATACAAATGCAATAGGTTCTCTTACACATTGTAATTTTTATACCAGGATCACGGATTGGTGTCTTGACTATGGAATATGATTACGAAATAGAAAATAAATACTTAGGTAACTATTCTGAATTTGAGGCACTATATTTTTAAACACCGAGCAACTGCTTCAATTCTATCGCGTGTGACGACACGCACTATGCAACGCGAGTGCACCGGGCGATTATGCAAATGCGTGCGTCTATGGACAGACGGCGCGTGTCAGGCGTGCACACATACAAGACGCGCTGCTACATTTGTATGAAGTTACCATACTTGTCTTATTATACTATGCTTGCACCCTATAGAGGAGAACCGGGCCCAACAGTAGGGACGTACAATAAACCGCATATACATATCTCAAATAATAGAAACTTAGATAAGTTGGACGTATGAGTAATGACATTGTATTAGCTTAAGTACCATCAATCACAACGTATTCGTGTTATTATTTACGAGTACAATTGATTTAATAAGTGGGCGTGACATTCGACAACGTCCACTTCAAAAACTCACAAAAACACTTAAGATAATATAGTATTGAAGATAAATTCGTCACTATATAAAATTGTAGTGACTACATATTTACTCATCCGAAGAAGAGTCAGAAGAATAAGTACGTTACGAGAATAATATCGTTATTCAAACTAAGTCCTATGTAAACCTGTTTTGAGAATTTATATATATTATTTGGTTTCGGAAATATAGAATCGAACAACGGCCGCTCTGACATCCACAGCGAAGAAGAACGAACAAAATGTACTATGTCCTGCGCTGCGCCCGACACTTGCCCGTAATTTCACCAGCACCGGAACGCAGTAATGCTCACATTACTGCTTACAGACACAGGTAACCAGATAGTACTTCCCTAGACGAACTCTTTCACTGGTAGCTCTATTGCTACTAAATTACAGGTCATAAAGTTTATCATCGCAAATAACAAATTTTCTTGTACCTGTTTTATTGTTATTCATAAGTTTATGAGTGGTTTACGATTCCAAATAACGAACACTGTTGTTCTTGTTCGTAAATCTCATGATTAAGGACCACGGACAAGTTCAAAATATATCGAGCAAAAAACGTGTGTTATCCGTTAGTTTGATGAATATGGTATAAAATTCCTTAAAAAATCTTTATTTTTTTATACAACTTTGGCTACAAGATTAAAACTAGTTTAGTACAAAATTAGTTTAATACAAGTTTAAAACTAAATTTTTTAAATGTTTATTATTTACTTATTGAGCATTGGCTATACAGTCGTCAGCTTAAAAAGGTAATAAATAATGAAGAACCTCGAAATGTAATATCATCGTCTTATTTAAGAGCCAGACTCTCTCCTGCAGTCGTTACGGTTCATAGCCAGTTTGTTCTCTATACCTGTTCACTTTGATCTTATTTCTTATTTGCTCACTATACGCTATTCTTGGTCTTCCTCTCTTTCTTGTCCCTTCTATCCTCCCCTCAATTATCACTCTCACAAATTCGACATTACGCAACAAAATGTCCAAATATTTTCCCCCTTCTCCTCTCTATTGCATTCAAAAGACTTCTCTCCTCCCCAACCTTTTCCATAACTTCCTCATTTGGTATCTTTTCAATATGAAAGAAAAATGTAATTACTTAAACTAAAACGTAATTCGTATAAAACTATAAGTACAAAAACCCGCCATTTTTTTTCAAAATTTCCTTCAAAATGTCAAAACTGACGTTTAAGTTTCTAAGGGTCGTATTCTAGAACTCTACTCAATGCTCAAGTCAGGACTTGAGTATGATTCAAAGCACTAGAAATCATATTCAAGTCCTTGCCATTAGAGTCGTATTTCCAGTGCTTGAAATCATATTCAAGTCTGCTCAAATCCTGACTTGAGCATTGAGTACCGTTCTGGAATACGACCCTAAGGGTCGTATTCTGGAACTCTACTCAATAATCAAGTCAGGACTTGAGTATTGCAGTGAGCACTGAAGATCATACTCAACTCCTTGCCATTAGGGTCGTATTTCCAGTGCTTGAAATCATACTCAAGTCTGCTCAAATTCTGACTTGAGCATTGAGTACCGTTCTGGAACACGACTCTAAGACTTCGTACTATCAAAATCAATGAATTTCAGAAAAAAATAATGGCTGACTTTTATGGTTACAGTTTTTTCTCAAATTATTTTTTAGTTTACGTTTACGTTACGTTTTGAGTTTCTTAATTATTTGTTACTTGTTTAAGCTGATGGCTCTGTAGCCAATGCTCAACAAATAAATATTCTAAGATTTTGTCACACGACATTTTAAAAAGAGTATTATTAGCAGTAGAGCTCCGTGTAAAGGAGTTCGTCCAGGGAAGTACTGCCGCCTTATCTATTTTTGCAGCCAAGCAGTAATGTGAGCATTACTGCATTCCGGTTTGGAAGAGTGCTCGTGAAATCAAAACAATTGTGATTAAAGCTCTGAGTATCAATGCAACACGGCGTGTCTCTTACCACCAGGCGTACAACTTGTTCATCCTGTCACTTGGTAACATAAAAAAACAGAAAGACAGTGCTATACTATATTGTGTGAAGCTATCAGTATCTTTCACTCCACTATAATTAATTATAAGCAGTCAGTGTACGACTGTCAGAAATTACGATAGGGTATTTCATTGCTTTGTCAATCATTGTCCCCTACTTAATAAGTACTCTATATTTATTGACCTGTTCCGGACTGGAACACGTAACACGTATTATTATGTTCTAATGTGTTATGAGTATACTTACAATAATAATTGTTTTGCTGACGTTCAATTCTAAGAAATAATATAAAACAAACAAATAACTGTATAAATAGTCTTAGATTTATATATTATCTTGTAAACTTTAGATTATTAAATACAGTCTAACCTATGTTCTTGTTTTTGTATTTGGTTTAATCAAAATTAAGCCGTTTTCATTGTGAACGAGAGGCCTCTGTAATAAGAGTAAAGTAAGTCGCATTTGTAAAAATTTTATGATTTTTGGAACGAAATCACTATAAGAAATCACGATAAGACGTAAGTGTTTTTTGCATTGCAAGCATTGGTTTAAGACATACTTAAGTTTAGTGCAAAATAAATTTGTTGCCCTCTCTATTTTCACGATTACAGTAGTTTTTGTGTTAGCCTGCTGTCGCTACCTTTGTATTGTTCAGGATATCTTTCTCCAATAATGGAATTTATTTTCTAAAAATATTTTCACTAGTTAGGGCCCGCCACCGCCACGGTTCGTTGCGTCGTTTAGTATAATAAAAAATAAACAAAAATTGTACCAAGAAAAGTATTTACTCCTACATATTTTCACCAGACAGTTTTCAGAAGTAATTTCTTTACGTTACATCGTAACATGAATGGTAATAAAGCAGCATATATCCAGGAAGTAATTTCGTTGTATGTAATGAAGGAAACCTACAGGATGATTGATGACTATAAATCTTGAGCATAATTGGTTATAAAAACATATCTTTAAAATGGTTTCATATTTATTTACTTTTAGGGGGAGTTACGAGCAATGTTCCGGTGATAGTGACGCCACGTCGGGGAGGACGAACACAAGCACAACAGTATAAATGTAGCGTCATTAAGTAATAACTGTGTCGCTGACTCTGATTACGCTGTGGCTGTGTTGCTATGCTCGGAACGTCACCTTTATAGATCTCTTCTAAGAACATGGTGTCCTGGTTTAGATTCTTACGTCCTGATCCTAGAAAGCATTTAGCAACTTCCAATCTTAATAAACCAATTACACTGCAACATTAGTTATAATATATTATTACTATATAATAACAACATTAAAAGTGGCTAATTATATGACTGTTAAGCTAAATTGATAAACCTATATATAAGATTAATAATCTCAAGGTCACCGGCGTGTGAGATGTGGCATCCACTGAAATAAAATAATCCCAATGGTTTTGCTCGCAAACGGGTTCACTCCGTTCACTCACTAGCAGCTTCATGCGATTGGATTTTAGTGATGTGTCACTTCCAGCACGAATGCCGATGAAGGTCGTCCTGCTCGATACGGTACGACGTATTGTCCGCCGGTTCTTGATCCTGAGCCCCTGAGCCCGGTCGACAGTGCCTTTTCCGGGGAATATCGCGTCTCCCATTTAAAATAAAAATAAATGATATCCAAAATAATAATAATAATAATAATACCTAAATATGATGTACCAGATCATCACACTAATTGCATGGTCTCAAACTAGAGAATTCCCTGTACATATCATGAGTACCAGAGCTACAGAGAATTCACTCTGGGGCACTACCCAGAACACCCAGACCAGAACCAAATTGAAAAAGTTCATTTCCCAAATTGGTCCTACTGGGAATCGAACCCAGGACCTCTTCATCCAGCGCCCACAGTATAAACCGTTGGACCAGGGAGAAGAAGGTTACCGTTTACCGTTTTCAATCTTCCTGTGATCCAAATTCAAATAAAACAAACACCAACTCACATCGGGCATTCATCACTCGCAATACCAGGAGCCCATGAGTCCATCAACAATGTAAAAGCTGCGGCGAGCCAATTACGGCGGCAATGTGATTTACGACTCGTAGTAGGCCCATGTTTATATTGTTTAAAGGGCTCCACAATGCAGGCATTCCATTTGTTATAAATAAATTGTAATAGGTACAATGCTATATTGTCCATTTATTATAAATATGCAATTTTATTGCATTTCGATGTGAGCGTGAGTTGAGTATCCTTAAATCTTTAACAAAGATTTAAGGATATTCAACTCATTCGTTCATTCATTCATTCATTCTTGCCCGTTTTGCGTTGGCATATAACACTTTACCGTGATTAGCGCAAAAAGATACTTGAATCAAATCTCGTTTATTTTACAAATAAAAATGTAATAGTGTTTTATACAATTTTACATTCATGCATGACAGTAAAAATTTGACATTGTAACAGATGTATTCATCGATGACAGATTGTAATGATACGCGATAATGCTTTTTGCCAAGTCACGTGACGACACATCCAATAGTGTCGACAATTCATCATTAATCAATCACTTAAATTGCTCCGTGAATAGCTGGATATTTTTGTCGTGATTATTTTTATTAAACAAGATGTGAATTAAGGACATATTGGTGGGTAGTAACTACTGGGAAATAAACGAGTTCTACGTATAATACATGCACGGGCTTTTACAGTAGTATATTATAACTTTATTGGCTGTTTTCAATAATTTGCCTAACTATCACACCGATTCGTCATCATCATATACAAATTGTTTTACCTGGACTCGGAACCGGGACCTTCATCTAGCGTCCACAATATTAACGATGGACCACCTAGGTGGTCGAAATATTCTCATGACATTTTCAACATGGAATACGTAAAACGAAATCACAAATTACATCGTTAAACTCAGCTCGTTTTACAAACATTAATTTATGAGACAGAAAACATTATTTACATTACACACAAGGTTTTATCTAACAATTTTAACATAAAATTACTAGTTATTAATAAGATATGAGGACCCAGTTGGTTTACATCGTGGGCGTAAATGGCCAACCATAATTAAGTGTTCAATTCATAAATTAACAACTGGTTTTCGATTTCCGAAGAAAACATACCTGAAAGTCCAGGTATTGCAGTGTGTTGTTAATGTAATCGTCAGATGAAACTTTAATAACACATGAGAGCATCTCCGACCTCCTTTAACGGACGACGAGAATTAAATTTTGGCACGACAAGAATATTTTCGACAAAGTAACGCTTTCATATAATTTTAGTAAGTAATACTGTGTTGCCGTTTTTGTGCACCCAGTGAAATCGTAATGGTGAGAACCTGACAAAATTGTCGCTTTAAAGTTGACAAATTCTTTAATGTTTTTGTTAAAATTCCACAATAAAGTGTGGGAATATTTTAACGTAAAGAACACGGTTGTCTTCTTCGTCAAGTATGATTGATTATGCTTACTTTATATAAATTTAGCAGCAAAAAATAAATGATTCGATATTCAAATGTCATACCCATAAACAAACCGCATCTGAGGGCGGCACACCGGCGTTCCGAGAAGTCGCAGCATATGTTTCTCATGTTCTGATATTTTTTGTTTGTTCTTTTTCTCATTTTTCAGTGCGTTAATCATCCGAAGCGCGGCGCACGCGATGTGACGTGCCCGAGAACAGTTGCGGCGGCGTCCCGCCCGATTATTCACGCGATTTCAATTATCTATCTGCCAATCTGCGTAATTATATCGGGCGTGTTACAAGATCGATGAACATATTGTTCGTGTTTATACTGTACTGGTAAAGTAGGTTTATTCTTAATAACAATCTGAACCGTAAAACAAAACAAATTTCATTTCAACGACTCAAAACAACCAACATGCCTGGAAAGTAAACCGAGAAATTTTATAACTGCCGCGTATGGTAGAGCTAATAAAGAATTTCACGCTAAAAATTTTATGCGCTCAAATATCAAGAAGGCAATTTTATTTGCGATATTTAGTCGATACTCTAAAAGAGGCAGTCTTAACTTCCTTTTTTGACGGCGCGGCGGCGTCGTGTTGAGTCAATAAGAATAAACCTATAATCGTTTCATGAGAAGGAGTTGAAAGTATGCACTTGGTATTTTCATTAAAGAAGTCTCATTAAAGACGTGCTCGGCGTTCGTAAGCCCCTAGTAGCAATTAGCAGTTCGAAAATTTATTTAACGGGTTAAGCTGTGCCGTTGTCGCGGGCGCACCGCGGCCGAGAAAATTATTCCCCTAGGAGGTATTCCGCTTCATTTGAGACAGTTGCCGGGCGTCCTCACATTTCCTGCACCCGAAGTGCTGGGCAATGTTTCAGAAAGTAACGAATTTCTTGACAAAATTATTTGAGAACTAATTTATCCATTGCATCAGTTTTATTTGTTAAATGTTTCTTGCTCAGAGAAGGAGAACCCACCATATTAACAGTTTCTTTAAGGAAAATGACAATAGCTTTTTTATATACATTTTCCAACGTTTCAATGTAAGTAAATCGGTGCGAGTTGCACAGTTTAAATTATACTGCGCAACACCATTTCTTTCCACTTCATTTACGTCGAAAGTGACACGTTGAAACGTAGAGAACGTTTCACACTCCATGAGCGCCTAGTACAATGTCACAGCTTCATACAGATGTTTGTTTGAAAATATGGGAGGAAACCTAACCACTACGAAAACTACAAAACTTTCACAGAAACACCTCTTAACACTTAAACATACTCACCACTACGTAAACTCCATTATGCCTTATTCAAAAAACGTACTTATAAAACAGCTAATGTATAAGATTCTCGGAAAACCTGTTTTCCAATAGATATTATTAAAATTAATGTTGAACATTTCTCAAACACGAAATTGTATGTTTTGCCATATTATTAAATATCACGTTATGATTGTAGTGTCCCTTTCAAACACGTACAATTTTACTGTACGGTGAGGAAATAACAGATGAGAGACTCCCTCTGAATTATAAACGACTCTGTTTCTACTCGAGTCATGCAAAATTAAAAGGTGGGAAGCTCTTTGAATCAGCTTAGTTTACATAAGGGTTGTCTATGTGAGTTTTCGTATCTGGATACGATTAAAATACGTATTAATTTCTCGTTTAAATCAGGAACGGATATTGTATCATTTGAAATGGATGGTGGTTTCCCTTACGTTACGGATGTCTATATCCTTTTTTGCTGATATTTCTTTCTTTATTCAAACTGCTTTTCAAATAAACATATTAGACAACATCACAAAGTAACTACTAGCAAGTAACACTAAAGTACTTGTGTTATCGAAATCGGAAACAACGATGGTACCACAAAAACCCAGAACTGAGACAATATAGAAAAGTTAGTTTTTTTTTCTACTTTGACCCGGCCGGGAATCGAACCCGGGACCTCAGAGATGGTGACACCATGAAAACCGCTGTGCAAACCACGGAGGCCGTCAATCTTCTTTATCTTTTTGTATTTATTTTTATTTGGAACAGGATAACATAAAAATAATTATGATGTAGCTGATAAAACTGTAGCCTCTGACTAGGTACGTAGACTAGGCAGATTAGAAATTGCGGTTTTGTTTTTTGAGCTTGGATTTTATTTTGCAGAAAACACATTAAATTTTCCATTACGGAGTGTACCAGAGACTGTGTTCATAAAGCGTTTGACATTCTTGCAAACATTGAACATTATTTACCGAATATAAAATGTGATTAAATGTTTTAATACCCTACATTGAAAAAGTAATATAATAAAGAAATAAATTAACGGAAAAGGACGAGAGTTAAAAATCAGGCAAATGTTTCTTGATGGAGAAATAATATAATAATAATATTTATATAACAAAACATAAATTGAAATCATTATTACTTTTTATTAAAAAAACGGACCTCAAGTTTGTGAAAGGTTTTATCTTTAAATCCGCTAACGGAAAGTGGGGAAATCAACGAAACCGGATTCATCCCCTGATTTACTACCCTTAGAGGTGAAATGTTTCTTCAAATTTGAATGGGATCACTAATAAGGTACCTACTTTAAAAAAAAGAATCATCGAGATCGGTTCTCAAATGTCGGAGTAATCACGTGAGACACACAAAAAAAAAACGTCGAATTGACAACCTCCTCCATTTTTAAACTCGGTTAAAAAACAGCCAGTTGGATTAAATAAGTATAAAAATCTACTACTACTGAACAAAATTGTTTAAACACATCACTTTTACTTTACGATAACTGCCACATTATCCGTTCACATTGAGTTTAAGTACTGAACAACAGATAATTATCAAGTAAGACTAAATGCAATGCCTTGTGGTTACGGACCACCCTAGGCTGCAACCACAGAATAATAAAGGGGAACCGTAAACGACAACCGTTCTTTAATGGCCAATTATTAACAAGGGGAATATGTAGTTTATGTTGTGTTCGCTCTTGTGACGCTTGTATATGGTTTTATTACTTGCATGAAAACGTATTTCTTTTTATTCGGAACAGGGGACATAAAAATTGTGATGAAGCTGATAATACTATACCCCTGAATAGGTACAAAGTCCAGGCAGACTGCATTGCAATCCTTGCAAAATGAGAAGCCATGGAATTGGTCAGTTTGAATTTTGAAAGAATTAGGTCCATCAAATTCCAATCGAGTTTTCAAAATGGCCACCGTAAAGTTATGAAGATTTCCCGCGAAGAACTGTCAGAAAATTAAACTAATGAAAAAAAATTACAATCTAAGATCTGACAGTATGGTCAATTGCCTTAGCCTATCCCGATGGACAAAAAATTTTACTACTCAAATTAAATCGACCTGCACGCTTAAATAAAACATGCATGACGCCTGTATCTACTAAAGACCGTTGTCTTATGTTGTACGTAGTATGTATGATCTTTCGCCCAAACATGTCCATTTTGGCCGTACGCAGAAAAAAAGGATTTCTACTAATAAGAAAGAGCAATTTCTCAAAATATTTGCTAATTCTGAATAAATATTTATTAAAAAGAATAAAATATTGTCATTACAAAATACTGCTTATCTTTTTCTAATACAATTTTACTCTTAACTTTATTCTAACTTTTAGACAAATACGTTCACTTCAAGATTTTATT